CGGTTATACGACTGGATTTCAATATTGTCTTTTATTGTCGGGCCAGTACAGTAAATAAACTAGGATGTCAATCAAGTCTAGATCATCAAAGCACTCATCGGCAATCTCTGTCACTGCCGCCGAGGCCAGAGCTGATGCTGCTGTAGCGGAAGCCCGCCCGATATGCCCAAAAAAGAGCACAAGCAAGAATGGATGCCCTGAAAGCAGAGCTGGAGCTAGATAATATTCAAGTACAGGAAGCCTTAGCCGCAGCCGAAGCCAGAGCTTCTGTACTACACGAATACGACCATGATAGTATTGGTACTAGCCCAGTGGGTTCACTATTGGAGTTACCGGTGGATGATCCACACGGCCGCACTTCAAATTATCTGATGGAGATTCAAGATGCTGATGATGAGTCGTTGGATGACCAGCCTCTGGATCAGCAAGAAACAGGTGGTTACCAGGTCAACACTAATAAGGAGGATTCAAAGAAAGTGGAGTTGCAGTTAGCCTCTCATATAAGCAGAATCATGTTCATGACATAATCAAAACCAGCCTACCCACATTCGATAACAAACCAGAAACGTATAACTCTTGGAAACATTGTTTCAAGAGTAAATTGGAGGACCTTCAACTCTTGCCCACTGAAGAAATCGACCTGTTGATGAAGTATACGACCGGCCAATCAAAACAACAGGTGTTAAGCATTAGCATTGCCAACCAGCCAATCCTGAGTTGGGGCTAAGAAGAGTATGGAAAAGGCTAGATAAGATGTATGGGTCGCCGGAGTGGGTTGAAACGGCAGTCAGGAGAAAGCTTGATAGCTTTCCAAAAATTACCACTGATGTAGGAAAGTTGTATGATTTAGCTGACATTCTGGGAGAAATTGAGACATTAAAAGCTGACCCAAAATATGGCACATCCTTGTCTTACTTCGACTTATCAATTGGAGTCAAACCTATACTAGCCAAATTACCTCACAATATTCAGGAAAATGGGTCTCCAATGCTGGAAACTACCTAGAACGAAAAGATGTCATCTACCCACCATTCAGCCACTTTTGCCAGTTTATAAGAAAACAAGCTAAAGTTAGAAACAACCCAGCCCTAACCGGACAGACACCTCAAGTCAGAGAGCATAGGGTCTCTACTAGGAAAACCAACACTCAACCCGAGCACAAAGCCAAATGCCCTATCCACAACTCAAACTCGCACACACTAAAGGAGTGTAAGAAATTTAAGACAGGATCTGCTCAAGAGAAATATCAGCAGTTAAAAGAGTTTAACCTATGCTTCAGGTGCCTAGATCCATCGCATCGCAGAAGAGCTTGCAAGGTGCTAATAAAATGCGAGGAATGCAGCAGTACAGATCATGTGACCTCAATGCACTCACACCAAGGCGGGGAGCAGACAGCTGAGAAAAATACCACTCGCCAGCATAACATTACCACTGCCTACGCACAATTATGTGGAGACGATAGAGCAATGGCGGGCAAATCATGCGCAAAGATTGTTCCTGTGGTTGTCAGTCACAAACGTGATAAAACAGTGACTGTCCGAACATATGCGATAATTGATGACCAAAGTAATAAGTCACAAGTTTCGGAGAAGCTTCTTGACCTATTTGACGTCCAATATCAAGAAACAAATTATTCGCTCACATCCTGTAATGGAGAAATGCAGGCAAACGGCAGATATGCTAGTGGATTCGTTGTTAGTAATCTGGATGGCACAGACCAATTAGACCTGCCACCAATGACTGAGTGTAATCAGCTTCCAGATGCAAGGGAAGAAATTCCGACACCAGCAGTGGCCAAGCAACACCCACCTTATCCCAGAGCAGAATGAACGCTGCTCCATCGCACTGCTAATAGGAAGGGACCTCATCGAAGCACATCATGTTCTAGACCAGATAATTGGACCGGCGAGCGCACCGTACGCACAAAGGCTGCGATTGGGTTGGGTAATCATCGGTGAAACCTGCCTTGGAGGGTCCCACATGCCCAATTCCATTGGAACATACAGAACGAGTATCATTATACAAAACATTGGAAAGCCTTCAACATTGGACCCATGTCCCAACCAGATAAAAGTGGAAGAGCTATTTGACAAGGGTGAGGATTCCATTAGTATATCTAGGGAAGAGAAGCAGTTTGTCAATATCATGGAGGCTGAAGGAAAGCTAAGTTCAAATAATATGTGGACAGCTCCATTACCGTTCAGATCAACTAGACCAAGGCTACCAAATAACCGAGAGCAGGCATGGAAAAGGGCAGTAATACTGCATAAAAGTCTTGTCAAAGATTGCGTCAAAAGCAACACTTTATTACCTTTATGAAAGGAGTTTTGGACAACGGACATGCGGAAAGGGCCCCACCACTCAACAAGGATGAAGAATACTGGAACCTACCGTTATTCAGTGTTTATCATCCCAAGAAAAGGGATAAAATACGAGGCGTATTTGATTCCTCTGCCACCTTTCAGGGGGTGTCATTGAACAAGGTACTGCTCAAAGGCCCTGATTTGACAAATGGACTGGTAGGGGTACTAATGCGTTTCAGAAGGGAAGGTGTCGCTGTTTGTGGGGACATAGAGAGTATGTTTTATTGTTTTGGAGTGGCCGAGGAGCACAGAAACTTTTTAAGATTTTTCTGGCATGAAGAAAATGACATTAACAAACCGTTAGTAGAGAATAGGATGTGTAAGCATGTATTTGGAAACAAACCCTCTCCAGCAGTTGCTAACTATGGCCTACGAGACATCATCAAAAATGCTGATCCTGATGTGGTAGAATTTGTCAATAAAAATTTCTATGTAGATGATGGGTTAACATCTTGCGAGGATCATGAAACTTCAATATCATTGGTGAAAAGAACGCAGGCTGCTTTAATGGATGGTGGCAAAATACGCCTACATAAAATTGCTTCTAACAGCCAAGAGGTACTATACGCATTTGATCGAGAAGAAATTGCAAAGGACATCAGAGATTTCAATGTGGAAGTAGGTGGTGCTCCTCTCCAAAGAAGTCTAGGCCTACAGTGGAGATTATGTGAAGATGTCTTCACCTTCCATATTGACTGTGAAGAAAAACCATTTACAAAGCGTGGTATTCTAGCAACCATTAATAGTATATACGACCCCTTAGGATTTGTTTCTCCAGTTTTGGTGCATGGAAGAGTCCTGTTCCGTAACATGATGCTACTCAAAGCAGATTGGGACGATCCACTGCCTGCACACATTAAATATGATTGGGAGTCATGGAAAGCAAATATACGGAAGTTGGAGTTATTGCATGTACCAAGAACTTACCACAAAATTAAAAGAAGAGAAGTAGTGCATTCAACTGTACATGTGTATTGTGACGCCTCTGAGCAGGCTGTTGCAGCGGTGGCGTTCTTAAATACAAACAGTGTAAAGGGGACCGAAGTTGGATTTATAATAGGAAAATCACGCATAGCTCCTAGACAAGGTCATACCATTCCCCGTCTCGAACTCTGTTCCGCTGTGCTTGCCACTGAATTAGCCAAAGTAGTCACCACAGAGCTAGACTTTTCCCCCAAAAGTATCAGTTTCTATTCAGACAGTAGGATAGTTCTGGGTTACCTTAACAACAACACAAGAAGATTTCATACTTATGTAGCCAACAGAGTTGAAAAGATATTGTCATTCTGCGAACCACACCAATGGCACTACATATCGACAGGTCAGAATCCTGCAGATCACGGTACTAGATATATTGATCCTGTGAAAATGCACTTGGCTTACTGGTCCCCAGCATTTGCATCTAATTAATGAAGAGGAACAAGTAACGTTTCCTCTCATTGACCCTGACAATGATAAGGAAATCAGGAAGGAAAATGTAACTGTAAGTAAGACAGTAATATGCAAAACGCGAATGCTGTGTGAAGAGAAACTTAAACGCTTTTCATCATGGTCAGGCTTGACACAAGCTGTTGCATACTTGAAACATCAAGCATCATCCTTTAGAACAGAAGGGCAAATACCACCATGCTCTGGGTGGCATGCATGCAGACAGCATAAATCCGTAGAAAAATATAAGCAAGCTGAAATCTTCATTATCAAAGAACTGCAACAACAGGTGTATGATAAAGAGATGAGTTGTTTAAAAGAGAGAATAACAGCTCGGTGATTGCACTGTCACCGATTTTGAACAATGACGGTTTGATGAGCGTTGGA